TTGATTTTTTTCATGATACAAATTTACTAGCAACAAATGCTAAACGTGTGACCATTCAATCTAAAGATATACACGATTATTCGTCATTGATTGCTGTATCATCAAAAATGAAATCTATAACATCGTTACAATCACACGTAAGTCAATTAATTTGATCTAGAAATGATTGATTTTTAACCAGTTCATGTTGATAATGAAGTTAGCGTGTCCTTACCTATTTTCGTCCTGGAATAATTTCTGATCGATTTGTAATTTAGACTAGTGGTGTTAAGAAGAAGCCTCGTCTTTCTTGTACTCGCAAAGAAACGTTAACTTCAAGTCCTATTAGCCAGAAAAAAACAGTGACAATATCCAGTGTAACGTCTGTTCCTAAACGATTAGAATCAACCTCAAGTGATGAAGATTTGTCAGACAACAACGAAGGAAAAGAAGAAAAGCAATGGCCAACAACCACTCAAGGTAATATGATATTTCCTGCTAAATTCTCAAAAAAAAACTTTTCTTTGTACAGTACTTCGCATTTTACACAAAGATAAAACAGCCCACATTACTGATTTAGTTTTTTCTATTATCAGGTATAATCCGTCGTTTGATCCAATTACAAAAGTTCGATGGTCTGTGGCAGTTAAGTGTCAGTGATATTGAAAACCTTACGAGTAAAAAGAAATTGAAAATAAAATCTTCTTATACAAAAGATGTATCCATACTAACATCAATGATTGTTATTGTCGCTTTAAAATATGAAACGAAGTTCCAGTCATATAAATCAATGTGGAACCCATTGGTAAACAAAGCATGCAAACGAATTCAAGAGTTACTAGGTCATGGTGGGAAAAATATATTTCAACAGCTAGAAGAAGATGTTCAAAAACAAATCTGAAGAATTTTTTTCATCTATTCGGAAGTTCTTTATACGTGTGTTTATCTTTTGTTGAAAAGAGTCGAAAAAATGTTTAATGGCTCTAGATATCCACCGGTTATAACCGATTGAAATTGTACGCTTTTTTCATAGAATATTTCTCAAGGAAAATTGATTCTCTAAAATTTTTCTAATAACTGGGTTTTCTAGGGCAAATATTTTTTCTGCAAGGTGATCTCTGGGGGGAATTCTTCGTCTTGATCCAATACTTATTAAAAAAAAAGATCTTTTAAAAGTCCCGTCACCGATTATAACCGATTTGCGGCTCTTCGTCGAAAAGCGATTGCGGCAGAAATAGAAAACATGAAGACTTCCACCACCTCATCTTGTAGAAAAATGTTTGCTCTACAAAACCCAGTTGTGAGAAAACTTTTAATATGCGTACTTTTCAAGCAATCCATTTCAGAAAAAAGGTGAAATTTATCGCTTATAACTGGTGCATGCCTAAATGGCTCTTTCACGACATTCGCAATTAGAACCTTTCACTTGCTTTTACAACTCGCTTCGTTCACGACGAGCTAAACCGTACTTTTTTTAAATAAACACGAATGCTAAAATCATTTTATTCAGCTTCTAAAGTTTTGAAAATCTTAAATTTCGTTTATTTAAATTTAAAAGAAGCCATTTTCAACTGCATCACTGGAATGAATGTAGAAAGCTGCACATGTTCTATTTTGTTTACTTTTGAACGAACTTCCGTTGGATTTATGTATAAGCTCTGACGGCGGATGTTAATACCTGTTGCTCTGACTTTCTTTAGGCGGCTGTCTACTTTACTTTCATGACCGATATGGTTCCTGTTGTCCACAACGCGAGTTTCAGGCAGAGCTGGGCAACTCAACTCCGGAGTTGAGCATCTTCTTTTTGCGGAGTTGGAGTTTGCTTTTAGAACGATCGGAGTTGACTTGATGCAGATTTTGTCAACTCCAACTCCGAAACTTCGGTTCAAAATTTCTTCAATCCCATTTCCTTTGCTTACTGCACATTCCGAATATGTAACTTAATGGGACCACGTGTATTTCTGTAATGAGGGCTACCGAAAATCCCAGCAGTTTTCGTCAAACTCAACAAAATAAGAAAAGCATCTTGTAGCGTTTTAAAAATTCTATCTGACGACGTATTACTCAAATCTTTTCCAAAGATCCTTTCGAAACCGTACTTTAAAGAAAGATTTTCAAGCTTATTTTCTCACCAAGAGATGCGTACGAGTCTTTCTGTTAATGAAGACCGGAGCTCTCTACCACTTTTCTATCAAGCGCCATTTAAAAGAGATTCGTGCTTTCCCTGTTTTGACACGGAAACTAGTATTAATTCATTATAAATAAACCACTTAAGAGAACTTTTTCATTAAAATTTTTATCAGACATTGACCACATCGTTGACTGTCAAACTGCCCCAGAAGGGTGTTTCTACGATTACTTTTGACTGAGCTGCAAGGTTTTCAAAAAGGGCTCTAATTATTCAAATTCAAACTAACACCTAAACTAAATTAGTTAATACCACGTTGATTACTTATCAGTACATCAAAATACTTAAGGAAATGTGTAATCGGATGTTCTCCTTAAACTGATAAAGCTTGAGGGCATATATAGGGGATGTGAACTCCTCTTAATTCTTGCTATGATCTTAGAATAATCTTACTAAGATCGTGAGATTCGAAAACTCTAAGATTTTATAGAATTTTTGTTAATATTCTAGTAAAAACAGGTTATACTTTATCTAAGATTTTTCAAGAGTCGATGAGAATCTGTTAGTGTAAGATACTAACAACAATTGCGTTCTTCAAAAACATTATTTCATCGTTAATTAATAGTGTCTGAATATCTAGCTTATACTGTTGTGAACAGGTATGAAGAATGAAGAGAACTTTCATACTTCTGGGCATCCGACCTTCACCTAAAACAAAAAGATGCATAAAAATAGTCAGTCATTAAATCCAGGTCTTAATTAAGATCTTAGATTATCTTACCAAGATGTTACGAAAATAATTCCAAGAGCTGCTTAAGCTTCTTAGTAGCGTCGGAGCCCAGGCAAAAAGGTGCGTGGATACACTATAACGAAAGGGCCCCATCCGATACATATGCATCCTACATTTGTACATAAAAACACCAGAAAGGTTCAGCAAACTGGATCCACATCCTTATATTTTAAAGGTAACGTACAAAAACTATTGCTAGAGCTGCTTTCTGAAACCTTTTTTATTCACCTTTTTCTTACGTCACCTTTCGCTACGTTCATTTCCTCACGGCTACTAACTTAAGGGCCTCCCCCGGGTCAAAAAAAGCAATTTTCGTCAAAAATATCATTTTGGAGATTTATACATAGTTAGATAGCCCATCATCTGTACTTTCGAATGCACTATGACTTATTGGTTTTATGAGGGTTTTTCATGGTTTTTCAGAGGTTTTACTGAGACACCCTACATAAAAAAAAATTTTTGTGCCAACACAAAATGCCAACGAAGCATTTCATTCATTATTATGGACAATGGTACCAAAACATCGATATTGGTCATCAACAATTATTCGTATTGCACTGGGTTTATCTGCCATGGTTTTTAATGATGGTTATATCTCATTGAATAAGTTATTTGTATCTATATTTGGTGCTATGGGTCATTATACAACTGAATGCTTTGGTAGATTGGATGAAATCAGAAAACATACTGCGTTCAAAGAAAAAACCAGGCGACGAAAACTATCAAAAATAAAAACAACTACTATGACAGGTTCCAGCGGGAGCGATGATGATGGTGTGTTGTACATGATAAACGATGACTATGTTGGTGATTATTCAGATGATGATTCGAAAATAGATGAATCAGCGGAGAGTGAAGAGGGTGAAAGTGAAGAAGACGATGCTTATGAGGCAGGCGGTGACGACTGAACACAAACACGTAGATTGCATTGTATGTTTCTCTTATACAATAAACTGAAGGATAAGTCATTCATTTTCTTTTGCTTGCTGGGCATGAAGAAAAATAAATGTTTTCTAGTAA